CGGGCCTCCCGGGTCGAGCTGCGGCCGCACCCGCCCGTGTCCTGGGGAGGCTCTGGGTCGGCGGGGTAGAAAGGACGTCGGAGACCGCACTGTTCGATCTCCCTCGTGTTCGGGGATCCGGAGCCGAGAGAAGTGACTTTCCAGGGGCGCACAGCTCCTGACAGAAGAAAACAGGTGTCCCGGCTCTCTCAGGCCAGCGCAACAGAGGTTGGTGCTGCTCTGGCAGGGAGAAGGAAGTCCCGCGGTCGCCCCTGTGGGCGTAGGACCCAGCCCCGGCCGGACAGTGAGGCCAGCAGTCACCTGCTTTCCGGTCACCTCCTCCCACTTCTGGGCCTTTGGCAGTGCCCCCCCCGCCGTCTCCAACTGCTCTCCTGGACGGTTCTCAGGTCGACTCTTGATTTTGGAGTACAACTGTCATACTGTTGTAAGGGGAGTAAGGGGAGGTGGCCTCTCCCTTAGAAACTCGCATCTCAATTCTCCTCTTTCTTTGGGAAGCACACGTCTGTTCCCAAATGTGGGATTCCATACTTGAGGCGGCAAACAGAGCAGTAGTTTGAGGCCGGGGAGCTGTCCGGAGTCCTGAAACGCTATGCGCTGTTGGCGACCCTGGTGGTGACCGGAGGCCAGGCCTTCCCTGCCCTTTTGGCTGTTCCTGGCCCACACAGACTCTTGGTCTTCCGCCAGCTGGCCCAGCTGTCCGCTATAGCCCAAGGAGAGACGGGCAAGCCGTCATCTGAAGGGACCTTTGGTCCCTTACACACAAGCAGTCCGTGTGGGGCTGATGTCTAGGAACAGTGCTTGGGACCAGAGATGTCTTTGGGTAGAATAAGTGGTGCTACCTTAGGGGGAATGAACAGGGAACCGAGTCCCCAAACACCAAACACACAGACTTAAGACTCCAGAGAGCTGTACCCCCTCCCAACCCCGATGAGGATCAGGCTGAGAGTCAAATTTGGCCAAGACTAAGTGAGCCAACCAGCTGGCAGCTGAGGACTAGGAGAACTAAGGCAGTGGGTCTCGGAAACTAGGTGTATTCTAGAAACATTTCTGTTGAGGCCCACATTTACATAAGTAAGTTGACTTACAAAATAGTTTCGCATCACCACCCAACAGGGGAGTGTCCCTTGGTTAAACAGAGAAGGTTGTTAGTGGATGACTTGTCTGTGGGCAGTTAGTGAGGGACAGACTCTTAGCTTCCAGCCTTGCACCCCGGACACTAACCGGTCCTCTGTAGTCTCTCTAGTGTTAAGGGGGAGGCTGGGACAGGGGAGGGCAAGTCTTGGTTGGCAGTAGGGAGAAGGTGGAGGTCACCATGGCAAGGAAGACTTAGCAGTTCCGTGTAGGAGGGTGGGCGCTGACACGCGTGTTGCAGACCCTCCATACCAGGTATGGGATGCTGCTCGCACTGAGCTGCTCTCGTTCTCTGTGCTGTCCCCTGGCTGAACAGGCAGTGCCAGCAAGGTCTCACCTGGCCATTTGAGTCAGGCCTGATCTGGGTCACAAGGCTGGAGACACCGGGCAGAAGTGGCCAGGTGGCAGCTCATGCAACATTGATGTCGGGGAGGGTGATGGTGGTGTCATGTTCCCGCTCTGCTGTGGGCCCAGGGGAGAGAGGAGGAGGGACTGTGCCCTCAGTCAGCAGCTGGGAGATGTGTCCATTTGAGGAACCCTAAACCAGGTGACCTGCTCACGAAGTGGGGAGCAGAGGACTGGCAGCTGGGGCGGCATGGGGCGGCAGTTGGGTAGTTAGCTGAGCTTCTGCATGCCAGATGTGGGCTGTGTGGTGCCAGCTCCTGGACACAGCCAGGCAAGTTGCTTGTCTTCTCTAGGTCTTGGCAAGCCCACGTCTTAGTCTGTTCAGGCTGCTCTAGCGAGTGATCTGGGCCTGGGGAACACGTGTGTGTGGGGGGGCGTTAAACAACAGGAACTCATTTCCCACAGTTCTGGAGGTCGGAAGTCTGAGGTCAGGCTGGTGGTTCAGTTTCGGTGACAGCCTGCTTCTTGTTGCACATTGCTGGTTTCTTGCTGCATCCTCAAAGGATGAGAAGGGGGGCAGCAAGGGATCTCTGGGGTCCCTTTTATAAGGGCTCAAATCCCATTCACAAGGGCTCCACCTACATGACCTAGTTCCTTTCCCAAAGCCTGGCTTCTAATACCATCACACTGGGGTTTTCATCATCTGGATTTGGGAGGACACAAATACTCAATCCATCCTACCTGATCTGTACACTGCCATGAGTTCCCCCTTCCATGAGGCTCTTGAGAGGAAGGGATGATGTAATGCCTCAAAAATACTCTGCACAGTAAATGTGAAAAACACAGAAAACATCAGTCAGGAGGGGAAGTGACACGGCTGTATCGAACGATGTTCAGACTTCAGTGGGTTGACACAAACACTTACTTCTGCCTGTGGGCCATGCCCAGTGGGGTCCAGTTGGGGGATCTCTTCTGCCTGCCAAACCCAGGCTGGCAGAGCTTGTTGGCATTGGCTGGCATTACTGTGGAGGGAAGACAGCCTTGCAAGGTCTTCCATTGGCAGTTAAAGGTTCTTGCCTGGACATGCGCACGGCATTCCTGCTCGCCTCTCACTGGCCAGAGGGAGTCACGCAGCCCTGCCTGCCCTTGGGGAGGGCCGGCGAGAGCAATCCTGGCTTGGACCTGGAACGTCTGCGAGCAGCTCTGACGACATCACACCCTCCGGCCGGCTTCCATTTGACACTACTGCCAACAATACAACGTTAGTTGGCCCCTTACCATGGACCAGATTCTGTGACAGGTGTTTTCCACGTGCGATCACGCTCAATTCCCACACACCTGCCACGGGTCAGGTATGAGTCCATTTTACAGTTGAAAGAATAGAAGCTAAAAAGGGCAAGCACCCTGAGAACACCAGGCTGACCCCCGCTGGAGGGGGCGGTTTCAGTAACAACCAAGACAGTAACAACCGAGTGCTGCAGAAACACGTTCCTGAGGCCACCTCCACCTGGGAGCTGGCATGTAAGATGAATGTTCTAGCGGATTCTGAAGTTCAGGGGCGCGTGGGCAACAGCACCGGGCTGATGTGCGTTGGGAAGGCCCCTGAAGAAAACAGTCAGGATGGGGCTGGGCAGCCTTCCTGTGCTCCCTGAGCTGAAGAACGTGAGCCACAGCGCATTATCCTGGGGACTGAAAGGAGGAAAAACACCGCAGTTAAAACTATGGGCCGGTGCTTTCCTATTACAGTTGTTTCAGAGATGCTGAAATATGAGTTCTCTGAGCTGGGGTCAGATTTTGGGGTAGGTGGTGCCTCACTGAGCACAAGGAGAGGACCGGGGGGCCCGGCTGGACCGCTTGGTGAGTGGCAGAGGCCGCCCTGGCGGAGGTGCTCGGTTCCAGGCCAACTGTGGGCTCCAGGGGTCCCTGCTGTAGCTTTTGGAGCCTTGGGTTTTTGATATGTGTGCTACAAGGATGGTAGGAGCTGCCCCCGTGCCGCTCAAGCTCACCCAAGGACCAGGCAGTAAGGAGAGCAGTTCAAGGTGGGAGGCAGGGTGCCAGCCCGCCAGCCTGACACCATCTGCTCCCCGTGTCCCCTCAGCCACAGGTCTAATGATTGGCTGCCTGGTCTACCCAGATGGCTGGGACTCCAGCGAGGTGCGGCGCATGTGTGGGGAGCAGACGGGCAAGTACACGCTGGGCCACTGCACCGTCCGCTGGGCCTTCATGCTGGCCATCCTCAGCATCGGCGACGCCCTCATCCTCTCCTTCTTGGCTTTCGTGCTAGGCTACCGGCAGGACAAGCTCCTCCCTGATGACTACAAGGCAGATGGAAAAGGTAATGTACGTCCCGCCACGCGGGGACTCCTGCTCTGGCATCCCAGCCAGGCACCTGTCTCCGTTCCTGGGCCGGGACACCAAGACTAATCAGACGCAGCAGCTACAAAGGTCAGCCACAGCTGGCGGCCCTCAGGAGTCCCCGCTCCTCCTTCCTAGGGGGCGCCGTCTCCCGCCTCATCCAGGCTCTCCCGGCCGTCTTGAGGGGCTGACCTCTTCCTCCCAGGCAGGCCTGCCTCACACCCCTAGGGCCCTGACATGCCTCCTCCCGGCAGGGGGCTGCCGCCGGGGCCTGCTGCTCTTCAGGGCTCCCTCTCCAGCCTCCTTTGCCCACAGTGGTCTCCAGCAGCCCGGGGACCTGGACCTGCAGCAGCACCAAATGCCCTGCACCCTAGGCCAAGGACACTTCCTTGAGGCTTTGGACTCAGGAGTGGCTGCTGCCAGTGAAGCCTGATGCAGCCCCAAGGTGGGGCCGTGGAGTTTTTGCGGTTAATATCTGGCCCGGAGGGGTTGTGTCAGATCTACGCAGTCGAGATGTAATTAGGTTGGGGCCGGCAAGCACTGCAGACTTCGGGGCACATGTGTCCAGGGACTCACGGGGTATAAGCTAAGTCACCTGGTTACTCTCCCCATTAGTTTCGACCTGGGCCCCTGGTCCTGGGCTAACGTTTCACTCAGAAGGTGGATCTCATCGCAGAAAGCAGACTCCGAGCTGGCCCTCCTTGCCCCTAGGCTGTGTTCGGTTACCTTCTGCCTCAGATTGAGCCCAGGAAGTGGGCTCCGCTGTGGGGGGGGCTCCCTTTCTCCAGCCTCTTCCTTGGCTATCTCCTGCCGCCCCTTGAGAACGCTGTGGGAGGGAGCGGAGTTGGTGATTTACTGAGCCTTTCTCCACGCGCAGGAGTGACAGGGCGTCAGTCCACGGGTGCCATCTTTGTCCACTCCTCAGCAACCCCGGGAGCAGTGCTGGAGCTGGGACTGGGCGGCACCAGCTCTCCCTCCGATGAGGGGGCTTCTCCAGGGAGGACACAGGGCGCCACTGCACGCAGCCCACCGAGCGCTCAGCTCCAGGCCCCGTCTCCCTGGAGTCTGTCTGGACATGTCCAGGGGCGGCTTCATCCACAGGCGCGCTTCCTTCCTCAGAAGAGATTTCTTCATCAGAGACATTCTTATTTACACAAATCCTCCGCTTTCTCAGAGATGGCTTTGTGATCTGACACTTTCCTTCCTAATCAAGCGGTCCGTTCACTTTGCTCTTCTTCTCTGACTCTCTCCTTGATCCCATCCATCCTGTCCTTGGTATTTTCAGATTTTTCTTCCCTCCACATTGTAGTTCCTTCAGTATCATACCACATACAAAAGAATACTTGTCCCATTCTTTTAACCTTTGAGGAAACAGCTACATAACCTTCCCGAATTCATGGTGCCTCAAGAAAGATCTCTGTTTCTTCTGCCAAAGCACAAGGTTGGCATCAGGAGCCAGTGTAGGTCCTAGCTCTTCGGAGTCACTTTACCTCCATGTTTTTCCAGGAAGGAGAACTCCAGCCCTGCTCTGCCATTTCCGTTGTGCGGATGAAACAATGAAAGCAGACACGAAGCCTCATGCAAGGACAGTTTCTGATCCACTCTTTGGGGGTTCGGGGGGCAGAGAAGAAGGCATGTGGGCTTGGAGACAGGACAGGGTGTAAGCTCAGCTGTGCGACCCTGCGAGGGCCACGTGATTTCTGAGCCTCAATTTCCTCATTTGGGCTTAATTTCAATGCCGGGCCGGGGGAGGATTCTTCTTCACTTGTAAAAAACAAAACACACAAAAAATAAAACAAAAAAACCTAAAACATGAATTCGAAAGACTACGCCAAGAACAAGATGAGGGTGTTTGCAGGACCTGGTGCTGGCAAGGCAGGCGGCGGAGGCACGGAAGTAATCCCTGGCCCAGAGGGGTCTACTTTTGTCACTTCCATTGAACACTGTACTGGAAATTACAGCTAGGACAGTTAGGCAAGAAACTTTAAAAAGAACTATGTGGAAAGGAATATGTAAAGTAACATCAACAACAAACCTATTTGGAGAGACTTGATCTTTATATGAAAGATCCTAAGTAATCCATTGAAAAACTATTATAGTTGAGACACAGTCTTAGCAAAGTTGCAACTAATACTCAAAAATTTATTGCTTGTATACACTAGCAATGAATAATCTGAAAATGAAATTAAGTTTAATTTATAATAGCATAAAATACTTAGGGATAAACCTAATGAAAGTGCAAGGGCTGGGGATTCAGCTCAGTGGTTCCGTCGGATGCCTTGCAAGCGCAAGGACCGGAGTTCGATCCCCAGTACCAAAAAAAAAAAAAAAAAAAAAAAAAAAAAAAAAAAAAGAAAAGAAAAAAAAAAAAAGAAGGGCAAGACTGGAACACGAAAATTACTAACACTGCAGGAAGAAAAATGTCTAACTGAATGGCGGGACACCCCACATCCACTGATAGGAGACACAATCTTGTTAAGGCAGCAACACTCCCTGGGCGGGTCTGCAGATTCTTCACAACCCCTGCCTGAATCTCATCTGGCTTTTTGTAGAAACTGGCAGAGGGGTCAGGGATGTAGCTCAGTGGTGGTCATGCCTGCCTTGTAAGTGCAAGGTCCTGGATTCGATCCCTGGTACTCAAAATGGACCAAAGACCTAAATGTATGATATAAAACTATAAAAACCTTAGAGAAAAATATAAGTATAAATCTCCATCCACTTGGTGTAGGCAATGGATTCTTAGGTATAATACCTATGCACAAGAAACCAAAGAAAAAATAAATTGGGCTTCATCAAAATTAACTTTGTGGGGTCACGGATTTAGCTCAGGGGCACCGCACCGGCCTCGCAAGCACAAGTCCTGAGTTCAGTCCCCAGTACAAAAAAACAATTTTTTAAAATTTGTGATTCAAAGCCATCAATAAGAAAATGAAAAGAACACACAGGTTGGGGGAAATATTTGCAAATAATAATCTTACAAAGGTCTACTACCTGGAATATATGAAGAACTCCCACAACTCAGCAATAAAAAGACGCGTTCATCCATACAATGAAATATTAATTAGCCATAAAACAGAATGAAGTACTGCCAATTGCTACAATGCAGCTGAACCTTGAAAACATTGTTAAAGAAGCCAGAAACAAAAGGCTGGCTTCCCTCTGGGTAGGGTATATGCGATTCCAGTTATACAAAGTACTCACAACCGGCCAATCCACAGAGACAGATAGTGGCTTCCTGGAACTAGGAAGGGGATGGGATTATTTCTCATGGACACAGCATCCCTTGCTCGGGTGATGGAAATGTCTCGGAAAGTGAAAATTCCCCAATCTAGTGAATATACTAAACACCACTGAGTTGAATGCGTTAGTGAATTGTTAGTAAATTGCCCTAATAAAAATAAAACATTGTGCTGAGGATCTGATACCAAAGCACTAAGGAAGCCTACACATCGCTGATTGATGTTAGTTCTCTTCAGTACGCTTTTTTATCACTCACCTATCCAATCGGTGACACGTACTGTGCTCCTCTTGCCCACACCTTCGTGGGCACTGGGGTACACAGCCAAGTGAAGAGGTCCACGCTGGAGCCTGCAGTCTGGTGGGGACCATCATGCAATGCAGGACTGCAAGCTGGTAACAGGCATGAGCAAAACTATGCACATTTTCCTTGGAGTCAGAGGAACCTGAGTTATTTCAGAGACGGGTGGTGTGGGGGAGCTTCTCTAAAAACACAGCTTGCTTGTCAACACACGCTCTTCTTTCATTACAGAGGAAGTCTGACGCAGCTGGAGGGTCGGTGAGTATTTTTTTTTTTTTTTCTATTTTGGTATCAGGGATCAAGCTCAGGACCTTGTGCTTGCCAGGCAGGATTTCTATTGCAAGGTGGTCTGCAGGCCTTTGGAAGGGCTGGGGCTTGCCACTTACTTTGTGAATCCTCATGGGGCTGCACTGGAGGGGTTTCAATGTGGCCTGGGGAGAAAAAAAAAAATGACCCATCCCACCGGGAGTTATTTGGCATCAGAGACCTCCACAGGGGCGCACAGAGCCTTTAAGATGTATGGAGGTTTTTTGGTGTTTTGTTTTCTTTTTTTTGAGACAGGGTCTCACTACGTAGTTCAGACTGCTCTGGAACTCACTGTGTAGCTCAGGCTGGTGTTGAACTCACAGTGATCCTCTGCCTCAGCCTCCCGAGTGCTGGGATTGCAGGTGTGTGCCACCACGCCCGGCTGTAGGGTTGTTTTTGAGACAGAGTCTATATACTCCCAGCTGGCCTCCAACTCATGGCGAACCTCCTGCCTCAGCCTCCTGAGTGCTGGGATTGCAGGTGAGCATCACCACACCCGGCCTAGGTGTGTTTTGAGATGTGGAAAAAGAACAAGAACAGAAGAAATAATTGAAAATAGGCAGGGGGTTGGTTTTATAACCTCATTTTTGGTGGAGCCTGGCAAATGATAATAGATTATGTTTTGAAATTATTGTCATATAGGCTCTTATTTTCAGGAAGAACTTTCAGTGATTTACAGGAAATATACTAGAAAACCCAATAAAATAGAAAATAAAAGTCAGAGACAGAACACAGTAATAAAAAGCCAGGTTGAGTTCGGTGTGGTGGTGCGTGCCTGTAATCCTAGCACTTGGGAGGCTGAGGCAGGAGGATCGCTGTGAGTTCGAGACCAGCCTGGGCTACATAGTGAGTTCCGGGTCAGTCTCAACTACATAGTGAGACAGTGAGACCCTGTCTCAAAAAAAGCAAAAACCAAAAATCAAAAACCAAAACAACAAAAAAGCCAGGGAACCAGAGATGTAGCTCAGCGTCACAGTGGTTGCCTGGCAAATGCAAGGTCCTGAGTTTGATCCCTGGTACAAAAAGAAAATCTAGGCTGGGCTGGGAATTTAGCTCAGCAGTGCCACCCACACCTGCCTCCCAAGCGCAAAGTCCTGAGTTTGATCCCCGATACCGAAGGCAGGGCAGGGGGAGGAAGCCAGGCTAATAGAGTTACTATACTGATGAATTTAGCTTGATAGCTGAGGCAAAAAGAAAAAACAATGAGTTTACTAGTTTTAGTATGATTCAAAAGGGAGCAGAGCATATCTGTTGTCTTTTAGTTTCCAAAATGTGACAACATTAAGGACCAGAAAGTGGGGAGACAGGCAGACAGGCAACCCCAACTATTAGTGTCACCCAACAGCTGAGGGCCTACAGCAGGTTACGCAAAGCTCTGTGTGGGGAGTTATTGTTATTTTGCTGAGTACCAACCCTGGACTAGAGAGATCCACTGTTTTAAGTAATAAACAGAACCTCTACTCCATTAGAACATGATCCCAAACTGCGGTGTGCAGGCACCTGTGGGTCCTGGTAAATGAGGACTCCGGCTCGGCTGTCCACAGGGGCTGCAGGCACTGCGGTCTACCCAGCTTCCGGGGAGGGTTATCCTCGGAGAAGCAAAGTACCGTACCAGACCATCTGAGACATTCCTTCCTTCGTGCTTATGTTCATTATTAAAGCTTTTTAAAGCCACACATCCCACAGCACTGCTGTCAGTTTTCTAAACCAGACTTGGTTATTCGACATTTAGGGTTACTATTGTGGATAACAACATGTTGCTGCTGAGGATTAATTTCCAAGTGCAGTCCCCTGAACCAAAGGGTAACTGTGGATGGGACCGACACCAATACACAAATTAGTGGAGCTGAAGTTAAAACGTGAGCAAACATTTTTGTTTTAAATTGGCTTTTAAAAATATCAAGTTTTATAATGCTGCAAATGTTGTTTTTCTTACCTCACAGATCATCTATTTCCCAAACAATGGAAAATAAGGGAATCTTAATTCTTCAGAAATAAAAATTCTTTCCTTCCAGCTTTCTTACCCCTGGCCACCACAGGCCCGAGACTCCAAGCCTTCCACGGCCGGATCAAGGCCCCAGCTCCCGAGACAAGGCCTCCTGCTGCTTGCAGGAAGAGCTTCAGGTGCAGAACTGCAGCGACTCCAGTCAAGGAAACTGAGACTGAACAGCACGGGGGCCCGCTGCACTCACAGGACCTGGCCACGCTTTGCCAAGGGAAGACACTCACTTGTCTACAGAAGGAGAGGCGGCTGGCAGTGTGCTGGATCATTTCAGGTGGAGGGTTAGGGCATCCTCTGCCTCTCCCTTTTTTCTTACTGCTGCTCAGAGAGGGGTAAGGAGAGGTCACTGGAACTCACACCTTTCAACGCCCATCAGGAAGTCTAATGAAGATTAAGTAAACACAGGCTGTTTCCGGGTTGGGCACAGCTCAGGGGTACAGGGCTTGCCAAGTACGGGCGAGGCCCTGGATTTCACCCTAGCATCGTAGACGATTTCCGGTGACAACAAAGGCCTCTCGAGATGAACTTGAGAACCCATCCCTAGGAAGGACACCACAAATCACGGTCCAGAGGCTGGGGTGCAGTTCGGTGGCACTGTGCCTGCCTGGCAAGCGCAAGGTCCGAAGTCCAAGTCCTGGTACAAACAACAACAATAAACCCACCACAGTTCACTGTAGTGCCCATCCTAACCTAACCAGAACCAGCTACCAGATTCAGAAATGTTACTTACATCCCAGTAATTTGTTGTAATACAGTAAATGTCTTTTTTTTGAGACGTTCTCACTGTGTAGTCCAGGCTGGCCTTGAACTTGTGGCCATCTTCCTGTCTCAGCCTCCCCAGTGCTGGGATTACAGGTGTGCACCACCACACCGGGCCTAGATGCGAGTTCGTGCCCTAAGCTTTGGACCTGGCACACCACCTGCTCACTCTGGTAGATGCCCTGCCTCAGGTGTGCACGCAACTGGCCTGAGGAGCAGGATCTGGCCTTTGTCCGTTTCTGTCAGTAACTAAACCATGCGGGTGAACTGGCCTCTCACAGTGGAGAGGAAGCAAATGCTGAAGGGAGCTATAATGAATCTTGCTGCTTCATCTGGGGACGTGGGAAATTTTCTCCCTGGCTTTGCACATTTAATGCTTCTTGACAGCTCACCGTGTGGCCCTGTTCTGTTCAGGTGGGCTAGGAACAAACGCCCAGTGCTGTTCCAGTGCAACAGTTGGTGGTGAGAACTGTTACCATGGAATCTGTCACTGTCCCTAGCAGCTGGCTTACAAGACTAGTCACTTTCTTTTGCAGAAAAATAACTCACAAGCATTTTTTTTTTTAAATGGCTTTTTGAGACAGGGTCTCACTCTGTAGTAGAGACTGATCTGGAACTCACTGTGTAGCCCAGGCTGGTCTAGAACTCACAGCGATCCTCCTGCCTCAGCCTCCCAAGTGCTGGGATTACAGGTATGCACCACCACGCCTGACTTCACAAGCATTTCTTTCATGCAAGCTTGAGCAACAACAAAACTGAACAAATTTTGTAGCTTCCTGACCTTTCTGACCATGTAGGAAGTTTCTAAGTCTCTCCACCCTCAAATTACTTTTCCCTGATTCGGTAACCATGGTGGTCCACAACAGTGCCGCACCGGGAGCCACGGTGCAGCTGCCCACTGTCCACTCTACTCTGCTAGGACAGTGAGTTCCACTGAAGCAGGAGCCATTTAACCAGTGTCCAGTGCTGGGGAAGGAAGCGTATCGCCTCTGCCTTCATCTTCAAGGAGACTAAATTCAACCCCATTAAAAACAGTGATTTTGGTCCAAGTATATTATCAGCTCTTTTCAAGTGGCTTTACCTTTAAATGAGTTTTTAAAAAAACTTGAAGGTACCCAAATCTCATTCTCTTTGAAAGCATATAGAATAAAAATCAATGAAACTGGCATTTTCCTACCAAGTTGCTACTTTCCTCACCCTGGCTTACCTGTCTTGGGCTGGCCCTGGTACTCAAACTTCACAGTGAGCAGCCTGGAGAAGGCAGGTTTCGAAAGGACTGGTCATTTACAGCTCAAGTGGGAACCGAAAGGAAATCCTAAATGCCTGCGTTGTATTACAGCCCCGGGTCAGTTACCCCAAGCTGACAAATTGCTACAGAACCCAGTGGCTTCACACACTTATCTCACAGTATCTGTGGGCGAGGAATTCCAGCAAGGCTTGGCTAAGTATCTCAGCTTCGTGGTTTTTCATGCGGCCGTAATTACATTGGCTCCAATCCCAAACTCCGGTTGGTTGCATGCTTGTTTCTTGGGCTGCTGGGACTGAGGGTCTTGGTTCTTTGTGGGCGGGCCTCTGTGAGGCCATCTGCAGCAGGCAGCTTCCTTGGAACAAAGGTTCCAAGAGGAACAGCCAGGTGTGTGGCACAGGCCTGTAACTTGGAAGCCTGAGGTGGTAGAACTGCTTTGAGTTCAAGGCCAGCCTGAACTATAGAGCAATACCCTACCTTGAAGCAAAAAACAAGGAGAGAAGGAATAAAAGCCACAGTCCCTTGGTAACCTAGTTTTAGAGATCCTACCCCATTTTCAGCTTATTCCGCTTGAACAGTTAAAATGCAGTCCACACTCCAGGCAAGCAGACACAAGGGCATGAAAACCCAGAGGTGGGAATCTCTAGGGCCCTTTGAAAGGTTGTTTTTCAGCTATTTAGGAAATTTTATGCTGAAACGAGCATTTATCAGAATGGTTTATTGGCCCAAAGGTTATTCTAGTGGCCTTATATGCTGGTGGAACCGTTTTGCAGCGAACTGATGTTATAAAAGTGGAAGAGCTCCAACTCTTCAGCTAACCTCACACTTCTGGTGGGACCCACTGTATCTTCAACATCAACTACTGTATGCAGTCAATCCAAGGCAAGCAGTGCACACAATCTGCATCTTAGGGTCACAACTAAGAACATAGTGCTTCTGTAAATAGTCCAGTTCTGCCATTTAGAGCATAAACATATTAAGAGGGGCAAAAACTAGATCTGAATTAAGGACAAAAGAATATGATTAAAAAAAAAAGCAAACTGAACATCCACACATAGTATTAGAACTCTTCTCACAAGAAATGGTGGGCTGGGGATTTAGCTCAGGGGTGCTGCATCTGCTCCCCAAGTGCAGTCCTGAGTTTGATCCGTTACAGGGAATGGTGCAGTCTACAAACAGAACTAGACACCAAGGTAAACAATTCCTGGCTAAAATTTCTGAACATATAACAAACTTAACATTCCGAGATTTTAAATTGGGATATGCAGATTCCTACTCCTTCAAGGACATAAAGATAATGCCTACCATGCATGGAGTTGATCCCAACTTTTAAAAACACCTTTAGTAGCTGGGTGAGGTGGCACACACCTGTAATCCCAGCACTCGGGAGGCTGAGGCAGGGGGATCACTGTGAGTTCGAGACCAGCCTGGGCTACATAATAAGTTCCAGGTCAGTCTCAACTACATAGTGAGAGCCTGTCTCAAAAAACAAAAAAAAAAACCAACAACAAAAAAAAAACAACTCCAAAAAACCCCTAAAACACCTCTAGTGACAATAAAATACGCTTCTCAGTAGATACCTCCAGGTTTATAGCCATCTTTCTACATTAGTATCCTGAAGATTGTGAGAACATAAAGTTACCAGTGCTCCTGCCAGCTACCAAGGCAAATGAGTATACAAGCTTCTGTACTATCACGAGGGCGTCTTCAAAAAGTACATGCAAGTTCATATTTTACCAGTAAGCCATCAATTCAGCACTTTCCCCATAAGCTCTGGAGCAGCTAAGTGGTTTCCCTGTGGGCACCTCATTTGCTGGTTCTTCTGAGACAGCTACAAGCTCTGCTATAGCAGCACTAAAGGTTTCCTTAGATCCTAGGAGTCCTAGGTTCATACAGAGCTTGGAGACACCACCTTAATTTGTCACTCTGGTAAACACTAAGGATAATCTCAACAGGTTTCATTCTGGCCAACACACTGCATGTCTCAAGACTGCAAAATTAAAACAAATTAACTAGAACAGTTTATGTAGGTTCAGGAGGTGGGAAAGCGCTATTAAAAATATCACAAATAGGGTTGGGGATTTAGGTTAGTGGTCCAACATCATCCAATGAGGAACCCCAAAAGAAAACTGGGTAATTTAGGCAAATAAAATATAAATGGTCAATTTATAAACGAGTTTTTTGCCTCAGTAGCAATCTAACACACAAATTAAAATAAGTCTTTTTGGGGGCCAAGGTAGCTACCAGGAAGGAGATACAAGGCCCACTCACACCACTGGCACACGAATGGCACCACTCTGGGTGAGGGCATTAAAAGCCTTAGACATATGCTTACTCTGTTTTAAAGAATTTAAGAAACAGAGAGACAAGTGTAAGGAAACCTGTGCATAATGGGATTAACTGGCCTAATGCTCCATGAAGTTTACATCTGTCAGCTATGTGCATTTTTTGCATGCTGCACTAGTATTGAGAAACACACACATGCTCTATAAATGTGTTTAAATTCAAAAATATATTCAACTAATTTCTTCTTCCAGCTGCTTGGGTCAGGTCAACTTGGGCAAAAATGAATAGAAATTTCTGGAAACGTGGGTTATTAAATAATCTGTTTATTGTGCTGTATTTGTAAAGAAAACAGACAATGCACTCAATAGAAAGAATAAAAATGTCTCAGGGCTTTATTTTTAACTAACAGCAAATAGAAATCCTTTAGTGAGATCATGGCAATGTGACAGTGTTATGATTGAGCTCAAAAAGGGTTTGCGGAGCCCACGGAAGATCAGGTCTCCAGATGCCTCTGCTCAGGTCTTCTAACGTATCTGGTTCCTTCAATCATAGGGAGGAAAGCCCTCATCTGGTGGGAAGATTCCCAGAATGAAGTCGTAGGCTCTCTCCTGTTAAACATTTGTGTCAACTGTCACACAAGCCCGTGTTCGCTTATGCGTCGTCATCAGAAGTCGGTAATTCCACAACTGGGATCTTACAGAGTAGGAGAGATTGCAGTTAAGTCTGCTATTGCTTTAGATGTGAATACAGTTGACAACCCAGAGTAGATTAGGGTTGCTGAAGAATTTCCCTGCCGTTTTTTGAGACCATCTGTTCTCTCTGTTCTCAACAGATGCATAGATAGCCTGCCTCAAAACTCTTTCTACAGGAACACATCTGATTCCAGGAGTAACCAATCAATGGTCCGATGAATGGCTGGCCAGCTCCTCAGAGTAGGGTGTCTGTGAGTTCAGTGGGCTGCCTGTGGACACCACCTTCCACACAGAAAGCTGAGCTTGCGAGCAGAGCCTCGTGTTGCCCCTCCTTGGCTTTCTGTAAATCAAGAGTCCCATTGCTGCTTTCAGAGAATGCTGTAATCTCCAAGGCCCACTTGGTCCATGCTGAGTAAGTGGCTCTGACCCCCATCCTGCCCTTCTTTTAACTCCTTGACTTTATCCAAGGATTACGTCGTGGTTGGGCAAGTCTATGAGAGGCCAATCTTAATATGAAGTTCACAAAGCCTTTTTGCATTAAGGGGGGAAAAAGCCTCCAGTACATTTCAATCATCTCAAAACTGCGTTATAAACTTACATCATATAAGGAAATAGCAGCAGAGAATGGCTAACCTTATAAAGTCATTGGGCAAAAACAACCAATGAAAAAAGTGCCAGCCCACCCTTCCTGTTGGCTTTTTTACCCAGGGTCTCATTCAAGACTCCAAGACTGAGAAAATGAAAATGGCAAAGCCTCAGAGGGAAACTGCCTAAAATCACAATTTTGGGCAACAAGAAATGCTTAAATACAAGCAGAGAACTGTTTGGAAATGTCCTCTAGGGCATCTTGTCCTTAGATGGGAAAGCTCTGACACCAACACCTCCATTCTGAAGTCATCCTGATCCTTTAGTTATGGGGGCAATAAACTCAAGTGCACTGGGCAAAGTGCTAGCCAGGGATTTAAAAAACAAAAAAGGAAACAGCCAATTAAAGTAACTCTTGCTTTAGGGTAATAAGACACACAGGAAAGGAGTGTTTCAATGTCTGAGGTTCTCAAGAAACTAGTACACAATGGTTCCATTTCTGTTTATATTAAGAGTCAGACTGAGGATCTGAGGATCTAAAGAGTTATTAAAGGATGAAAGGAATATGACAGTGCTTTAACGGTGATACGATACCCAGATCTGGTGTTTATACGGCTCTTCCAAAAGGTAGTAGCTGAAGTTGCCAGAAAAAAACAAAAACAGAAGAAAACAACAGAAACAATCCAGGAACACGATGTAGCCTGGACACAGCAAGTTTAATGTCTCTGCTGTACACAGAATTAACACCCATTCCCCTCCTTCCTCACCCTTATGCTGGCAGTAGTATATACACCAGAAAATCTGACTTTCAGAGTCAGTGAACAAAAGGGTGGGTCTACACATCATCGCTCATTTTAAAGAGGGCGCTTATAATTTAAAGGATGCCCTGATGGAAAGGCAGGGGTTAGGGTAGTAAAAGGTTGTTTCACATTTTTTGTTTATCAGTCTTTGGCAAAGCCCCACCAAGGCCAAATTCACCTGGGACACCCAAAGGCAGTGGGGGATCTCTAGAGTCAAGTAAGCAAACCCAATGAATGTGTGGGATTAAGGAAAAAAGAATCTAGAAACCCTTGAAGAGCTTCACCCTGAAAAGAGGAAAGTGCTCGGAGAGGAGGACGGATGGTCAGGGTAGTGATCTCTGCTGCTGCGGCGCTGGGCGGGGCTCAGGAGTTGAGCCAAGGATGCCGGAGACACTCGGCAGCAGTGGCTCTCTTCTCAGGGATGAGCTCCAACATGGGCAGCAAGAAATCTGTGAAGCCAGCTGCCTCTTCCTGAGACCACTCATACTTCTCCACTAAAACCTCAAAAAGGCCCCAGGGTTTCAGCTTCGTGATGTGTTTCAGGTCACCTGTGGTGAAGACAGTACAAAAGAAACTGACCAACACTGACCAGCGACAAAATCCTCTGTGGAAATCCAGGAGCTAATCCAGGTGGTCTACAAAGAATCCAATTTTGCAATCAGAATCTAATGTTCCATTCACGAGGCACTTCTCTAATTCTGAATCTTAAGAAGTGCCTCTATTTTTCATACAATCCTGAAGTCTAAGATGATTTTTCCTCTATTCCAGGACATTTTTGGTCCCAGTTCAAATGGGGGATGCCTGGGACTCAGGAACTAGTTATTTACCACAGTGAACACTGAACACCTACATCCTCATAGACAACGTCTGCACATGGTCTCACACGCATGTCAGAGGCTAGTCTATCTCCATATATTAAGAACAAGGTGCGCCGTAATCCCAGCTACTCCGAGGGCAGAGGCAGGAGGACTGCAAATTCAAGGTCGGCCAGGGCAATATAGCAAGACCCCATGTCTCAAAGAAAAATTAAAGGGGCCAGGGATGTAGCTCAGTGGTAGAGTCTGGCAGGTATGAAGCCCTAGGTTGGTCCCCAGCACCACAAAACAAATCTCTCACACCCCACTTTCCTTGTACTTTGGGGGGGCCCTCAATTATCTAGTATATGTGGCTTCAAAATGAGGCAGAGATTCAAAAAGTTACCATGTCAACATGAATAAAAATAGTAAAACTGAACAACCTACGTGGATTTCAGATACAGCAACATCATACTCTGGAACTTCAGAAGAATTGCTTCTTTCAAGTGATTTTAGCTGGGGATTGAATGCAGGGCCTTGTGAATGCCAGGCAATTGCTCTATCACTGAGCTATACTCCCAGCCCTCAAGTGACAATTTTAGGAGACAGGTTCTTCCAGTGTTGCCTGCCTGGAGTGGTCAAAACCTCCTGGGCCAAGGTGACCCTCCTACTTCAGCCTCCGGGTTAGCTGGCACTACAAGCATGCACATTTGTGTGCAGCTGAAGTGAGAAGTTTTTAAAGACAGCCTCTTTGGTGGCCTTAGGGACTAAATCCAGGGCCTTTGCATTGAGCCTGTATCCCCAGCCCTTTTTAAATGTTGAGACTGGGTCTCCCTAAGTCACTGAACTGCCCAGGGTGGCTTAAATTCGTGATCCTTCCGCCTCAGACTCCCAGAGCGCTGTGATTACAGGTGTGCTCCACCATGCCTGGCTAAGCTGGTCAATTTCTTTAGAACCGGGGACTGAACTCAGGACCTCGTGCTTGCTAGGCCAAGTGCTGTGCCACTGAGCTAAATCCCCGGCCCAAGTCAGTCAATTATTAATGCCTGTGAAAATAAATGCTGCTAAGAATTTTTTCACATATTTCATTTATTTGGACTCTGGTGGGAAGCAAATAGCTATTTAATCACCAACTTGACGCGCACACACTTTGACTTGTGCACATGAGGAAGAACTCTTTGAAGCATTTCACAGTTTTCCCACCCAGAAAAGGTTAGGAAGGGTAATGTTCTGAGATGCTCCTGTCAAGGGTTCAGAAAAAATCATTTTTCTCAGCACATGTGCAGAGGTTGTAAGGAAAAGGGGAACCGTGGCACAATGGAGAGAAAGAGGCCAGACAGTAGTCTAGATTCTCTAGGTTAGGTTTCCATATTTGGTTTATTCGGAATGCGTAAGAAATACATTATCAAGTCAAAAGCTCAAAGTGAGAGTTTCACTGTTTCTTACATTAACATGTAATCATATAGAAGTGCTAAGTGAGTCTGCGTGACTAACGGGGCAGAGTGGCTGTGTTAGCAGAGGCCCGTGAGATGCAGTTCCTGATGTGAGCTTACACTAAACCTCTTCCTTCAGTAGGGCAGCGCTTAGATCAGAGGTCAGCAAAGATCTGTCCATCTTCCAGAAGTGTTGCGGTGGGAACAGGCACCACACCAGCCCTAACTAACGGAACGCGAGGCTACACTCTTGCCCTTGAGCCAGCGTGCGAATGTGCAGGAGGCTGTCAGAGGAGCGGCGAGGGTCTGACGCCCGGACTCTCACCCCTGCTCCTGACCAAGCCATCTCACCTCTCTGCTAAGTCACACTTCAGCACTGATGGTAAGCTCACCTTTCTCTGGGTATTGGGAACATGTACCCAGCTGTACCTACCTTTTCATTTTGAAACACTTTTGACCCCTCAATGTCTGGGAACAAACACATTTATTTTACCTTTTTTGGTGAAAAATTCCTTGGAATATTTTCCTGCCACAATGAGCTTGCGAGGCACCTTTCCCAGAAGTTCTATGATCAATGCAATGTGATCTGTATATTTTAGACATTTCGAGAGGGGGGGAAAAAGACACATGTAACAGGAGTAACAAATGCAGCTGTAAACACCGGTAGAAAGAATAGCATATCTGCCTCTTTGTAAAGCAGTCTAAGCTTGATTTCTGTCCTAAATAGGAAGAAGTGGACTGTAACCATCTAATACCAAAAAATCATAAACTATTTAGGCAAAAACAAACAAAAAAACACAATTTAGGCAACCACTCCATTAGGATGCAAGTGATTACTAAAAATAACCTTGGCTTGAATGCTCAGTTTGCTGAAGCTGCATGCCTGGAGTCTAGCTGGAAACTCATGCTAGTAATTCTACCTCCGTGACTGATAAAGTCCTGCGTATATTTCCCAACGAGGGCAAAGTGTCTGGAAATTCTATCAGCTCTACCATGCGCAGAGTGTGGTCTAAAATAGGAGGATAAGAACAGGATCAAGGACAAGCTGCAAAGGAGTTTTCCCTATGAACAGCATTTTCAGGGACCAGCTGTTAAATCACAGATACTCAAGGGGAGCCTGGGAAAGGCAGGAATTGTATCAGGTGGCCCGTCCCCTCATCAGAGCTGGCACATCTTATTCTGAACTTGAGGTCTAGGTACAGCTTTGCTTTTATTTTGTTTATATGTCTAGGTTCAGGTGAGGTTTTCCGGTAAGGTTAAATATGAGTGCCAAAATAGGAGTTCTAGAAATGTTATTTATTAATTTATAATACTGTTCCGGGCTTCAAGGAGTAAAACATTACCATATATATGAATGCACATGACACATGCCAGAGCTTGATGTAGTTAACTCACACATGAGTTTTTATAATCATCCCATAAAATAGGCTAAAGATTAATACCTCATTTTAAAGATGAAACAAACGGAACTTCAGAAAAACTAAATGGCCTACTCGAAACTTCAAGGCACATTGCTGAAACTCAAATGAAAATCCACATCTTAGCACATCTAGCCCAGAGCTCCCCGCACCTATCACACTATGGGGGGGGTGTGTTTGTTTGTTTTTTTTGGAACACTATGTAGTTGAGACTGACTTGGAACTCATTGTGTGGCCCAGGCTGGTCTCGAACTCACAGTGATCCTCCTGCCTCAGTCTCCTGAGTGCTGGGATTATAGGAGTGTGCCAGCATGCCCGGCTATCACACTGTTTTTTGTTTGTTTTTTTGAGGCAAGGTCTCCCTTTGTAGTTCAGGCTGGCCCTGAACTCGCTATGTAGCCCAGGCTGGCCTTCAACTCACAGGGATCCTCCTGCCTCAGCCTCCCGAGTGCACCCGGATTGACACTTTTTAATGACTTAGAAGTTAGTACAAATGGACTGTAGGCTGGGAACATTTCCAAGCCTGAGTGAGTTTACATGGCTGTCAAAGCCTGACTGTGGACTGTAAGGCACTGCCAGGGATGTGGGAAGACTTTCCAAATCCAGGGTGAACCTGATACCAGCCAGTACGCAAACCTCCAGGGAGCTCTCCTGCCTTTCTATTCTTCAGGTGACAGAAATTAGCACATGAAGACATTTTGAAAAGTGATGCCTCACAGTCAGACAAAAGCTTTCATAAATTCCTTTGATTCTATAGTTGAAAAATCAAGAAGGGTTAGAAGAAGTTATTAAAAACTTCCAACTACGCATTTTCAGGGGGCAAATACTATGGCTAGAGGCGCCCATATCACCGGGGCATCCGTGCACCAGGCCTCAGCTAGCTCACTCAGTGTCTCTCTTTCAAAGCATTTAGTAGTTTTTTGGTTTTTTTGGTACCAGGGATTGAACTGAGGACCTTGCACTTATCAGGCAGGTGTGGTACCACTGAGCTACATCCCCAGCCTCTATTGGTATTATTTTTAAAAGGTCTGATAAATTCACTACTTCCACATGAAGTTATGATTCTTTTAAGTTTTTTCCTATACCAAGGTATTATTTCTCCTGCTCTCTCCCAGGCTAAACGGAAGGAAAATATTACAAAGTGGCTGAGGTTTGATCTAATAACTACTAGTTCTGGTTAATGAAGGAAGAAGATATTAGGATCTAAATATCTAGGGAAGGTGGTCTTCTCTTAATTGAGATTTTTTATATATAATTTAATCTTCACTTTGGCAGTTTTGGGTTCCATTCGATGGAATTCTAGCCACTGTGTGTGTTCTATTACACACATTAATATTTATAGTCTAGGCAAGAGAAAAGCTATGAAGCACTCCTCCCAAACAAATATTAAGGCATATAAAACACTATAAAATTCTAACTCCAAACTTATAACCCACAAAAGTTTGAGCAAAGGGAAAAACCAAGTATGTCCAAAAAACAAACAAACAAACAAACCCCACAACAACAAAAAAACCAACCAACCAACCAACCAAAAACCCCCCAAAACCCAAGTATGTATATGGGCAGTAATGACAGCCCCATTTAGCAAGGACCACGCCTAAATATCCCACACACATATGAAACATGTTCAAACCACACCTGCCAAAACAGACACTTAGCTATAGGAATTAGCTCAACCTTTTCCAAACAGTATTTGTGAGGCCCGTTAGTGGGCTGTCCGAACATGGCCTACTAACATTTGAGGGAGCTCATTTTGAGAGGGCAGAGTGTGCCTGTAGGAAAGCACAGGAGGGACGCGTCCTTCACTGCCTGTGCTGAGTCTGCTCCTGTACAGCAACCCTCCTTACTTCCGCCCGCAAACAAAGTAAATGCTCCACAAATAGAATAAAATGAGGCACAGCTGTCTGCTTCCATGGCGCCTCGGACAGAGCAACTAACCCACAGCGGAGCTTTCCCCCAGGGTACCACAAAATCACATCCATTTTATTTTGTTTTAAAATGGAATTCTAATTATCAGTAACATCTAAAAAGAAAAAAGAGGGAGGAGGGGGTGAAGGGACGGCAGGGGAATGGGGAAAAAATGAGAACCAAGACCTGTCACATAAAGGTACAAAATCCCAATGATGAATGTAATTATACTGTATACCTAAAAAGTACCAATAAACTCAATGAGGAAAAAAGAAAAAGAAAAAGAAAAAAGATAGCTTTAATTTTCAGAGAAGGTGAAAAAATGGTGTTACAAGATTTAATAGAGCATAGCCTCTGCATTCAAGTAGTGTCCACAGATTTAATGACTCATTTCCAAATCAAGTCGGAGACATAAATGAGCAGCAAGCTGAAGACCAGGTAAATAAACTCAAACTGGGGAAAGACTGAGTCATTGACTTATAAAGGAAGATAACTAGATAGTGAAGAAAAAGATTAATGGACAAGTTTTAGTTGAGCCTATTTGTCACTTTTGTCTAACCCTGTATTAGAGCTCTTTAGCATCCCTTATAAGATACCCAGTTAAGCCGACACTCAACTATACCCACACACGGAAAGTGAAACTACAGTGCACAGATACCCTAAGGGGACTCACCTTCATCACGGGTGTATTCTTCTCCTGAATGAGGTTCAAATAAATAATCGCCTGTGGCCAGTTCAAAGGCCTACCAAAAAAAGAAAGAGAGAAAAGAATATATGAAAGCATCAAAGAAAAACAAGACTTGTGAAATTTGATTCAATATTAAATATTTTTCTTGAAAGAACTGTTAATTCCTAAAGAATTTTTCTTCACATCTGTGTTTTTGTTTTGTTTTGTTTGGTACCAGGGATCGAACTCAGGACCTTGCACTTGCAAGGCAGGCGGCGGCACCACTGAGCTAAATCCCCGGCCCATTCACACCTGTATTTTCATAAAATGCAAAAACCAAAAAAAAGAACTCATTTTCTACCAATGGGGAATGAAAAAAGGACAACAATAAAGCACAAACTAGATGGTCCATTCACACCTGTATTTTCATAAAATGCAAAAACCAAAAAAAGAACTCATTTTCTACCAATGGGGAATGAAAAAAGGACAACAATAAAGCACAAACTAGACAGCTCAGCATGGAGCAGGGGGAGATGGACAATGGGTATAAAGCCAGACATACAACTAAGTTCTAGTGCTCTACAGCCCCAGTGAATGCAGCTGACAAACAATGCTGTGTGTATTTCAAAATAGCTAGAAGAGAATTCTGATTGTTTTCCCACAAAGCAATGACATCTGAGGTGACAGACATGCATGCTAGCAACTCAGATTTGATCATTATACACTGCACTATGTTTACCGAAAACCACACTGTACTTCCTAAAGGTGTGCAGTTATTATGTGTCAGTCAGAAAAACAGGCCAAGAAACAAAACCCCACAGCAATTTGGCCCTCTTTAGTTTTCCTTTGTAGTCAGAAAAAAAATAAGAAGCAAGATATATTATGTAAAGGTACAAATTTCCAGTGATGAATGTCATTCTATTGTATATTTAAAATGTACCAATAAAATTAATTTTTAAAAAATAGATTAAAAAAAGGGACACAACCGAAAATTAAAGTGAGTCTGGGTTACTAAATTATCAATGAGAAGAGGTCTTTTCTTGCATCATAATTTCACACGGCTAAAAGATGGAATTCTGGGCTGGGGATTTAGCTCAGTGGTGTCTCACCTGCCTTGAAAATGCAAGGTCATGAGTTTGATCCCAAGTATCACGAAACAAAACAAAACCGGAATTCTGTACTTAAAAAATCAAACACTCAGATATCTCTCTGTGACCCTTTAGTATTTGACAAGTAAGTACAGCCTTAAATTTCTGTATGGAAAACAACCCCTAAACTGCCAGACTGAGTTCTGGGCCACTCCATTCCATGTGACCAGCAGGTCATCAGCCAGGAAAAGACACACATTTCCTAAGACACAAAACCTCTTACACATAAGACAATCAGCATTGAAGGGGGTTTTAGATGATTTATTTTGGAATGTCAAGAAGTAAGGAGAGGACAGCACCTGGATAAAAAGGGCGACAGGAATTTCTCTTGATTATAAATGGATTTTCAAAGAACAAACAAACAAATATAATAGCAGTTTTAAAAAATGGCCTTATTAGCCAGGCATAGTGGAGCATACCTGTAATCCTAGCACTCTGGAAGGCTGAGACAGGAGGATCAGAAATTAAAGTGTGGCTTGCCTTGCGAGTGTAAGGACCCAAGTTCGATTCCCAGTACCAAAACCAAACAAACAAAAAAAAGTTTAAACTCAGCCTGGACAATTTAGTTACTTGTACCCAGTCTCAAAATGAAAAAGTGAGAAAGTGCTGGGTGTGGTGGCACACGCCTGTATTCCCAGCACTCGGGAGGCTGAGGCAGGAGGATTGCTGTGAGTTTGAGACCAGCCTGGGCTACATAGTGAGTTCCAGGTCAGTCTCAACTACATAGTGAGACTATGCCTCAAAAAACGGAAAAAAAAAAAAAAAGCAAGAAAGGGGGCAGGGGATATAGGTCAGTGTAAAGGCCTTGGGTACAATCCCCAGTACCAGTATTGCAACTGAAGACAAAGACAAAACCAAACCAACAAAAACAGGTGGTATTAGTAAGAAAGTACAGCCAAGTACTCGTCACAGGAAAATTTCGATTGGCTGGATGGGTGCCTTCAGGACAAGACAACCTTTCTCAAAACCATAGTGCTAGTCTGTACTTCTACCCAGAGCAAGGTCACACAACCGGAAGTTCCAGGAGCCAAACACTTTTCACTAGAATGTCAGGGGTGCCGAGGCTTCTTGTCCGGCACAGCTTGTTTTACCCTCGTTGTTTATTATGAGGCTGAAGCACACCAAAAGAGAAGGTCCTTTCTAACCCGAAACAGGCAGAAGGTTAAAGTCCTGACACACACGGAAACAAACTGCTTCTTATTCAAAACCAAACTTTTTCATCTTTTTTGAAACCAGTACTTTTTCAAAATTTCTTATAGATGGAGTTCAGTGATGATAATGAAAGCTCCAAGATCCCATCTCAATCTCCCTCTCAAAATAAAGAACCGTCACAGTACTGCTATGAACACACACACCCCGACAAAGTGGGTAACCCAGAAGTGGATAAATCTCCGGACACCATCAAGCCTGCTAAGATCCAAACAGACCGATAACGAGTAGGGACACCGAGTCAGCAATTCCGTCTCCTACCAAAGGGGGCCAGGACCCTACGGTTAAAGAACTGGTCCAGTCCTCCAACTCACCCAAAAAATGGAAGAGCATTTCCAAAACTGTGAGGGCATCACTGTCTTGGTATCAAAGCCAGAAAGGAAATATTATGAGAAAACTGTGGCCCAATATTCCGATGCACATATACACAAAAGCCCAACAACCTACCACGGGCAGGGGATGTGCCTTGGTGGTGACGTGCTTGTCTAGCACGTGTGAGGTACCGGGTTCAATTCTTAACACCACTAAAATGAAACAAAATCGGGCCGGGGATTTAGCTCAGTCAGTGGTGCCGCTGCCTGTCTCCCAAGCACAAGGACCCGAGTTCGATCCCCAGGACCAAAAAAATTAAAAAGAAAAACAAAAAAACAAAATTTAAAACACTACCAAATAAAAAGATCACCGCTGTGATGGAGGGGAAGGCCCTTCTCAAGAGGAAATGTTTGAGTCCAGAGCCGCACACATCAAAGGAAAGAACACAAAGTTCCCAATCCGAGTTCAATCCCCGGTACCAAAAACAAAACAATAACAAAAAACAAAAACAAAAAAATTAAACAGCTACTGTTCAATACAGCATTTCCTCCTTTCTTTCAGGCAGCTCTAAATAAGGAGTGGTGATAGTAGGGAGAAAACTCTATGGGCCAAATCACAAATTCTGATAGTTGGCAGCCTTTTAGCACCCTTACAAGTTCCAGACAAATAGGATAGACGCCCTTTCTTCCATTTCCTGAAGAGTCATTCTGTTGCTCCAAATACCTGGCTAAAAACTGAATTTATACTACTAGTTTTTTCCCCTAACATACAGCTACTTATGGAGCAGAAAAAGACATATAATTTGCTCTGTCTTCTAAACTTTCACAGAATTTCCCACAAATCCTGTCCTCAATTTCCGAGATTAAAAAATAAAAGGAAAAAGAAAGCTTCCAGAATGTAATCACTTCAAGAAAGGAATTACAGGAGAAGGTAGATAACTGGGCCAGTGTGCTTACTTCCCCAGAGCAGGAGGGAAAGGGTATTCAAAGGTCAGAAGAAGAAAAACCTCATCCTGTCAGTTATGGTGCTCTATATAATCTGGCCCCAGTGTTTGGAGATGTTTAGTTCTTTGTGTTTTGATATTGGGGATTGAACTCGGGCCCTTACGCTTGCAAAGCAGGCAGTAGCACCACTGAGCTAAACCCGCAGCCAAGGAGATGTTTGTTTAATGCTTTTCACAGACATCTTCTCCTATTCCTTTGTACGACCGCCCTCCTAAATAGGTCTCACTTGTTAATGTGGTAGGAATCCTCTCAACTTGTCCCTCTGCCTCTCAGAAATCTTTCTAACAGTTGACTGCACCGGATGCACGAAGATCCACCTTTCTAGGCACTTCTGACAGGCCAGGATTTATTTCTCCTTGGAGTATGACCAAAAGTAAAGCAACATTTCCCATGTTCCAATTTTTGTTTCTTTTGTTTTTAGTACCAGGGATCAAACTCGTATCCCTCTGTTTGTGAGGCAGGCGGCAGAACCACTGAGCGAAATCCCTGGCAACATTTCCCATGTTTATTGGCAGAAAATTAAGAAACAAACAGGGCTTAAGTTTTCATGATATTGTCTCATGCCAGGTTAAGTGCTTTCTCACCCTTGCTCAAGAAAATTCCAACACATGAGTGGGTCCACAACTACAGAATAAGAATAAGCCTATTTCCTCTTTTATCATTTTATCTTATGCCTAACACTGAAAACAGTAACAAGCAGGATCTACTGCCCTCCAACAAAATAGGAATGTGGAATATAAAAAGGAAACCACAGACTTCACCTTCTTTTAGCAAATAACCTATTTCTAAGAACCATACTGTAATAAATCCTCTTCATTTCTTTAATACTGGGGTTTGAACTCAGGGTCTTTGCAATGAGCTGTATCCCCAGCCCCTTTTTATGTTTTAATTGTGAGGCTGGGCTCACTTGTGATCCTCCCCCGCCTCAGCCTCTCAGAGTGCTAATCAGCCCTGCTAATACATCACATATCACTGTAAGTGATATTTGATAGGTGGTGGCATCTCCTCACTTATGATTTTTCTCTAGCAGATCAACTCAAATCAAATTCCTAAAACTAAAAAAAATGTAAAGTTCAGTGAGAAAGAGATTTGAGATTTTATTCCAACACTCTTTTATCTTATGCTTACTCAAACATTCCTAAATTCAGACCTCTGTCTTTAGAGGTATGTCCTATGACACAGTGCTTTGTAAGGTCATGCCACACCAACAACACGGTCTGAACTACATCTGCAAACCAAAGGTTTTCAGGGAGGAAAGGAATCTATGACCTGAAACAGTTTGGAGATGTGCGCGTTTCATCGGCACGTACACTGAACAGTTTGGAGCTGCCCACCTGTCCTCTGTCTCAAGCTTTCCCCAGGATACTAAACACTGACTGAGGGTTTAGAATGCTTCTGTTACTTCACTTGATCGACTGCTCAGCAATACTATGAAGTACTAGTGCATGAAACACTGCTCGGTCTTCACCTCAGACCCTTGGGAGGTCCAAGTGCTCAGGGGGCTTCAGTCACTCAGTGGATCTCTTGGACCTTACATCTACGTTTACACTACACCTAGTCGCCTCACGGCAGGGCCCCTAGATCCACAGCCGGAAGACCAAGCATGTGATCACAGGGTTGGGGCTTTCCGGCCTCCCAGGCTCCGGGTGAAGGAATGAGGCTGGACACTGAACACAGTCATGGCCAATAAGTCAACCGTGTCTAATTATGAATCTCAACAGCACGGAACATTTGAAGTTTGGGTGAACTTCCTTGGGTGGTGATATGTATCGGTGCACCCGGAAGCTTCCCACCTGGTACCCTACCCTACATCTCATCTTGTTTCTATCTTTTAAAACGAAACTGTAAGCCCCACACTTTTTGAGAGCGTAGTAGGAACTTCTAAATTTATAGCCAGCTGGTCAGAAGTGCAGTGGCTTGTGGACTCTGGAACCGGAGGCCAAAAGCCGAGGTGGAGGGCAGACATGGGAAACTATGCCTTTAACCTATCAGCCCTGCAAGAACTCTGGTAGGTAGTGACAGAAATCCACTGCAAGCACCTGCTCAAAACATGCCAGCCAGACACAGAAGACAGACTGCTGCCAGCACGGTGCTATAACCTTGTGGGAGAGAAACAAGCAAACGCACAGACCAGTAAAGGAGGAGAGATCAGGAGGAGCATATTCACTTCAGGAAACATACGCCACATTCCAATGTTACGGCTATTTGTGGGAAATCAGTTAGCATCAACCAAATCTGACTATTTGAGAAGTTACTTGCTAGGGACAAAGAAGCAACTTATGAATCCACGAATGATTGTGAGTCACACCTGAGGAGTTCAAAAGATGCAAAAATAACTGTGGAGATTCTCAATTCTGCAAATGCATCAATGCTGAACGGTGCAGGTACTGTAATTCCCCAATCCACACCGACCACGCCTTACAGCACTTGCTTTCAATTCAGACTTCCCCAGGCACAGAATTTATGGTTTCCATGTAAGTCACCGCTAAGTTTTTTTTCTGTTTGTTACTACGCTGCTACTGAGATGAGCAGAGAGACAAGGTCTGACAGAGCCACGGAACAAGCGGAGGCCCAGGGAGAATAAAACGTTACCATGCATGCGGTGCTCCAGATGTCAGCCGGGGTATTGTAGCCAGACCCTATCAGAACCTCCAGGGAGCGATACTGCCTTGTCTGAATGTCTTCAGTGAAATGTTTGTGCTGAGTAAATGGAAAAAGAAACAGCAATTAAAAATGCATATTCTAAGAAATACCAAGTCAGGACTGCTTAATAATGGAGAGTAAAATAAATTATCTAATGTGTTCCCCAAACGAAGGTTCCATTCAGCCAGTTTCTCAAATATCATCGATGTTAGCCCTAAACAATCCTTTGCCATATTCACTGACACGCTCTACATTAGCTCTGCAAACAGATGAGGCTAAAAAAATTTACAGGAGTCTTAAATTTAATGGTGATACACAGATTGTTTGATACATAGATACAGTGAGCAACAATAGCTTCACAGAAAATAAAATTACCTCAAAAATTATGTTGCTCATTTGCATAAAATTAGTAAATTATGAACCTTAGAAAGACAGAGAACATATTAAGCAAAACAGCTCAATATGTTCAGTGAAATAATTGGAATTTCATGAATAAATAAAATACATAAAAGGGAGAAACTTCTGAAGTGAAGGTAATTTAACCCTCAGCATGGAGACCACAGCCTCTAACCCGAGTGCTGCGGAGAATGAGACAGCAAGATCCGTGGAAGGAAGTTCAAAACCAGCCTGGACTACCTCGTGAGGCCTGTCTCAAACACCAAAGTAAACAACGGAAGTAATTTAAGAGCCAGAGCACATAATTTTGCATTCATGGATTTTGTATGGATCCTGTTTCAAACATATAAAGTTAAAAAGAATTTGTATGAAGTTAACTGTGGAAACTAATAAAATTGTCCTCTTTTTCCCAGGTGTGACAGTGGTGTCAGTTCCCAAAAAAGTATCATCTTTCAAAAAGTCATATTTGTGTATGAAATAAGACGCCTGGGATATACTTCCAAACAATGTGAGGTGCACGGTGAGGTTGAAATACAGATGAGAACCCCAGCACTCAGAAGGCTGAGGCACAGGAGGTTTGCTAAGAGTTCGAGGGCAGCTGGGGCTACAGTCAGTTCAAAGCCAGTCTGAACTACAAAGTAAAACCCTGTTTCAAGAAACAAAAGAAACAAGGCCAGGCATGGTGGTGCACGCCTATAATCCCAGCACTAAGGAGGCTGAGGCAGGAGGATCACTGTGAGTTTGAGACTAGTCTGGGCTACACAGTGAGTTCCAGGTCAGTCTCAAATACATAGTGAGACCCTGTCTCAAAAAAAAAAAAAAAAGTAAGGAAACAAAAAGAGATACAGATGAAAACAGACTGGCAATGAGTTGACAACTGCTAGGTGACACCGGTATAACAGCAAGGGAGTTCACTATTCTATTCCTTCTCTTCTAGGTGTGTTTGAAATTTTTCACAAGCAAGTAAATGAATAGTAAAGAAAAAAAGAAGCTTAATATGAATTATACACAGGAAATAAATCCAAATGCTATTAAAATCCTGCATTGGAAAGTCACGATGACAATCTCTAATCCTGTTGAAAATCAAAACAAGGAACTGCGCAAGGAACTGTGGAGAGGGGAAAGTGGGAAAAGAAAGCTTCTGGGTAGAAAATCAGTATCAATCAGAGCAGCGAAGCACACCTGACTAAGTAAGATCAAAATAGCAACAAGTTCTAAACTACCAGGCAGTTTAGATTTCATCTAGCAGACACGAGAGCGCATTATCATACTTTCCTGAGTAGGAGAATGCACTATCAATAATACTGGCATGATAACTGAGAATGTCATTTCAGTAATCTTATGTCTGGTGGCCAGATTTAAAGATGTTATTAAAAATCTGAACAATGGTTGTAGAGTTTTAAATCCAAAGACACTTACTGAAAGAATAAGCAGAATTCAAACATTCAGGGCTGGGGATGTAGCTCAGTGGTGCTGTGCCTTCCTGGCAAGCACAAGGTCCTGAGTTCGATTCCCGTTACCACACACACACAAGTACACATTCAGTGATTACATGTGAGACTGAAAGACTAAAGAAAAAGCTTAAAGACCATTGGCCCAGAGGCCTAGAGCTGGCTGTCTACCGGAAAAAAAAAAAGAGAGAGAGATGGGAGACTCAGAGAGGAGAGTAGTTTTTATAGGAAAATAGCAGGCGCAGCTATTGAGTTTGAAGTGACTCAACCCGACAACCAGAGAAGAGCAAAGTGAAAGCAATGAAATTCAGAAGTTGGAAAACAGGGATCATTGGTAAATGTCTTTTTAGACCCCAAAAAGCCGCAATTGGCAAAAGCTGAGAAGCAATGTGATTTACACCCCAGTACCCTCCCCACACATAACGCTCAGGATAGCGGTAGCTCCTTTTTTCTGGAGGTGGAGTGAGGGCGGGATTCAACTCAGGCAGGAATATTAGTCTAAAACACCTTTTTAAGAAGCAGTGCTCCATAAAAGAACAGTACACGATGTTGGCTAACGTCCCCTTTCCAAGGCCAGTAGAATACTTGGTTTACCCTCCGGAGTGGACAAATAAAGGTCTGTGGAGGAGACTTATACTCAAAGGGAAAGTACTATTTTGAAAACTAGAAAATTAAGTGACCTTACTACATATGCTGAAACATCTCTTTGCTTAACTCAGCTGTTAGACATTAGTAGCCAGGCAACTGCTCTCCGGGTAGGAGATATGCAGACTTTAAATCTTTAGGGGGGAATATGACCCACCCAAGAGCAAAGATCCGAGGACGTTCACATGTGAGAATGAAATCAAAACAGCTCAAACACATTTTTCTTTCTTTTTTGAGACAGGGTCTTGCTACACAGTCCAGGTTAGCCTTGAACTAACTACGTAGTCCAGGCTAGCTTCAAACTTCTGGCAATCCTCCTGCCTCAGCTTCCTGAGTGCTGGGATTACAGGCATGTGCCACTAAACCCAGCTCCAAATACATCTTTCTACAGTGAATAACAGTCTACAAGGCCCACTTCATTCATCCAGCCAGGTAGTCTTCCATTTAGTGATAAACAGAAAGAAGGTAACAGCTATACATACAAAGAAAATCTCAAGAAAGGAAAAACACCCTCGGAAAGATTGAAAAGAGGGCCGGGAAAGTAGATCAACAGTACAGCACCTGCCCAGTAAGGCCCTGAGTTTGATTCTCAGTACAAAAAAAAAAATTTTTTTTAAATGTTAGTTTTTAAGAAATAAAAAAACTGGGCCAGGGATTTAGCTCAGTGGTTTCACCGCCTGCTTCACAAGCGCAAGGACCCAAGTTCAATCCCTGGTACGAAAAAAAAAGAAAGAACCCCCCAAAAAACACTCTTAGCAAAATCATAATAGGAGAAATGAGAAATGAGTCTTATAAGAAAAAGTCAAGAAATCTCTCCATAAAATACAGCAAAAAGCAAATGACTGAAAATGGAAAGGTAAGAAAAGGAAAAAAAACTTATATAGAAGGCTTGACATTTGAGTAGTGGAATTTCACAAGTACTGGACAGAGAACAGAAGAGAATTCTAAAAATTAAAGACTCCAAAGAATCATAGTTTCAATATTTAAAAGGCATCTCAGCTCTTTAGCACATAGATGCAAACAGACCTCTCGGGGCACATAACTGCGAGGCGTAATCCTACAGACACGCCTGCAGCCTGCAGGAGGGAAAGTGCTCATAAAACATCAAGAATCAAGAGTGTGGGGTTGCAGCCCTGGCGTGTCTGAGATCTTGGGTTTGTTTGATCTCTAGCATGGTGGGGGGAGATGGATTTATATTACTGAGCTAAAGTATGGGACCGAATTAAGTGAAAAATATTACAAAGAAAACTAAGCAAACCAGACAATCTTATACAGAACAGAAATCACAACGTAATATATACTCAGTTCAGCTGAGGATAGCGTTAGCATCCTGATATTATGAACATGAATGACCATCTGGCCAACAATTATAACAATTAGAGCATGGGTGAACGGGGCAGTGGTGGCAGGTGGGTCCTATTCACCAGGAAGCGATCACTAAAATTGAAAAAAAAAAAAATTAGGAGGTGTTACAGCACGTCTTTACCAAGTGCGATTTCCTGCCAAGTGCCATCCAACACAAAGGCAGGCTCGTAAAAACATACAGGGTGTCCTCATCCACCTTATTTACTGGGATCTGGCACGTGTGACTTCTGGCTTTTCCTCAAAGTCCAAATGACCACAAAAGGTAAACATTTGGAATCAATTCAGAACACTCAAGCCACTCGCAAAAGCAGCAAGGACGATGGATAAGCATATCCCAACCAAGTAAGGATTTTCAGGGGTATTAACGGTGATGTATCTTTTACTGTTAATAATTTTTTAAAATAGTCACTGTATTTTTTGGCCATACCTAGTATTACTGATGATAGTAAATGCTGTCATGAGGAGTAAAAAGCTGGCAAAGGGAGTGGCATGTTTTTAAATTAAAATCTATGCAACCATCTCTGAACTACTTATATGTATAACCGATAGCAAAAGAAAAACTTCAGTGTCTTTTGTAAAAATCAAGCTCTTTGAAAATAATGTAGAAGTCCACTACTGAATGCCAAATGCTGAAAAGACCACTGAAAAGCGAGCTGAGACTAGAATTCCACAATGGGGACATGGGGGACACGCACGCCTGCTCTTGACCTCGTCCCGGCGGCCAGGTCAGCGCATGTGCTGGTACGTCTGCCAGATGAGTGAGTGGGTAAAGAGAAAATCAACTCAATCCAACAGAGGCAGACACGCACACAGTAACTGAAGAGAGATTAACTTGGCTGTAGTAAAAGGGACAGGAAAGATTTTACCAGAATAAAACAAAAGTGTGCCACGGGGCGACAGGCAAGAATCTGCAGAACATTTGATGTGTACCTAGTGTGACATCTGTACAGAGCTAATGTTTCTCTACCGCTCATTTACTGAAGTATTTACTGAGGCCCTACTATGTATGAGACACTACTCTAAGTACCACATGTAACAGAAGGGAACAAAATGTGTCCGTGGCATGTGTGTTCCCGAGGGAGAGATTAAGCAGTGGGTGTTCAGGAACGCTTTCCCTGTGAGACGGCGCCTGAATTCAAACTCAAAATGAGAGAGAAAGCAAAATATAGTATTCTGGGAAGAAGACTCCAGGCGGAAAGACCAGAAAGTGCTCTTTGCTTGGTGATGTCTGGCAATCATTTTGAGGGCAGTCATTATAAGGGTTAGAAATATTTGACCTGGGGCCGGGGACTTAACTCGGGGGCACCACGCCTGCCTTCCAAATGCAAGGTCCTGAGTTTGATCCCTGGGAACAACAACAAAAAAAAACCAAACCAAACAAACCAACCAGGAAATATTTGACTTATTCATCTATAGACAGTCCACAGGGAAGTGCAGCAGAAGGGAGAAAGTGAGTAGGCCACTGCAGCCATCCAGGGAAACCACACAGTGCTTAGGTCCGGACTCTAGTGTAGGGGGTCGACGCCCATCACTCGGAAAGCTGTTCTACATCCTGCAAGCTTCTCACAATGTACAATAAAGAGCCAGGTGTGGTGACATAGGCCTGTAATCCCAGCACTTGGGAGGCTGAGGCAGGAGGGTCACTGCCAGTTGGAAGCCAGCTGGGCTACATAGTGAGTTCAAGGACAGCCTGAACTACACAGTGAGACTGTCTCAAAGAAAAAGAAAAAAGAGGAGAGGGAGAGGGAGAGGGAGAGAG